TGGGAAATATTATGCATGTGTTGTAGTGGATGATTACTCTAGATATACCTGGGTATTGTTCCTGGCTAATAAGGGTGAAACTTTTCTGCACTTTAAAAGTCTGGTGAAACGTTTGGAAAATGAAAAGGAAACCAGAATTGCAAGTGTAAGAAGTGATCATGGGGGAGAGTTTATATCTGAAAATTTTGAAAACTTCTGTGAAGAATCAGGTATATTTCACAACTTTTCTGCTCCAAGAACACCTCAGCAAAATGGTGTAGTGGAGAGAAAAAATCGAACTCTGATTGATATAGCTAGGACAATGTTGAATGATTATGGCCTGCCAAAGCAATTCTGGGCAGAAGCTATAAACACTGCCTGTTATACAATAAATAGAGCTCTAATCAGGTCCAAGTTGAACAAAACTCCTTATGAACTTTGGAAAAATAGAAAACCTAATCTGGGGTACTTTCATCCTTTCGGTTGTAAATGTTTTGTGCTGAATACTAAGGATAATCTTGGAAAATTTGACTCTAAATCAGATGAGGCAACTTTTCTGGGATATTCTACACATAGTAAAGCATATAGGGTTTATAATAAACGGACCCTCAAAGTTGAGGAGTCTATACATGTGGTATTTGATGAATCCCCAAGTGAGTGTGCAGAATCTATTGAGGAAGATGATGATCTTGGACTTGGAAGGTCGTATCAAAAGGATCAGTTAAGGGAAAAAAGTCAAGACAGAGTAGACGCTGGTGTAACAGAAGAAATTGCTGCTGAAACAGAAAAGAAAAATGATCAAAATGAAGGTAAACAGGCACCACTACATATCCAGAGACGACACCCTTCAAACCAGGTCATTGGTGATATAAACCAAGGTATGGTCACTAGATCCAAATCATCCTCTGTGCATACTGCATTTGTTTCCTTGATAGTACCTAGGAACATACGTGAAGCCTTAAATGATGAATTTTGGACAGCTTCGATGCAAGATGAAATAGGATATTTTGAAAGACTAAATGTGTGGGAACTAGTTCCTAAACCAGAAGACAAACCAATAATTGGGACTAAGTGGGTATACAAAAATAAGACTGATGAAATAGGTGATATAACAAAAAACAAATCTAGGTTAGTAGCTCAAGGGTATGATCAGGAAGAAGGAATTGATTTTGACGAATCTTTTGCTCCTGTAGCAAGACTAGAAGCTATCAGACTCTTGTGTGCCTTTGCTGCTTCCAAAAAATTCAAACTATATCAAATGGATGTAAAAAGTGCGTTTTTAAATGGGGATTTAAAAGAAGAGGTATATGTAGCTCAACCTCCTGGTTTTGAGAATCATAAGTTTCCAGACCATGTATACAAGTTAAATAAGGCTTTGTATGGCTTAAAACAGGCCCCTAGGGCGTGGTATGACAAGCTAAGCAATTTTTTGATTTCTGATGGGTTTCACAGGGGTTCTGTGGACAAAACTTTGTTTATTAAAAACCTAAATGGTCATACATTACTTGTACAAGTATATGTTGATGACATAATCTTTGGATCATCTAGTCAGAAGCTGTGTAAAGAATTTGAAACTGCAATGCAAGGGGCATTTGAAATGAGTTTGATGGGTGAATTAACCTACTTTCTAGGTCTGCAAATTCAGCAAACAGAGAAAGGCACTTTCATAAGTCAATCTAAATATCTACTTAATATGTTGGATCGTTTTGATTTCAAAAACCTAAAATCTGCTATCACACCCATGGGATCTTCAGCCAAACTTACAATGGATGAATCAGGGGAACCTGTAAATGATAAAATGTATAGGGGGATGATAGGTTCTTTATTATATTTAACTGCTAGCCGGCCAGATATAATGTTTAGCGTGTGTGTGTGTGCACGGTTTCAGAGTTGTCCAAAAGTCAGCCATTTATCTGCTGTGAAGCGAATTTTTAGATATCTTGTGGGCACAACACATCTTGGTTTGTGGTATTCTTGTGATTCAAGTCTAGAATTGCTTAGTTACAGTGACTCGGACTATGCTGGGTGTGTAATTGACAGAAAAAGTACTTCTGGGGGGTGCCATTTTCTTGGTACATCCCTGATTTCCTGGTCAAGTAAAAAACAGAGTTCCGTTGCATTATCCACTGCGGAAGCAGAGTATATTGCAGCAGGACTGAGTTGTACTCAGCTGTTATGGCTGAAATATCAGCTTCTAGACTATGGATTAGAAGTAGGATCTCTCCCAGTTTTGTGTGATAACACTAGTGCGATTAATATGACAAAGAACCCCATACAGCACTCCCGCACTAAGCACATTGAAGTGCGTTATCATTTCATTAGAGATCTTGTGCAAGATGGAAAAATACATCTGGAATTCATTGGTACTGACATGCAATGGGCAGACATTTTTACAAAACCTCTAGGATCGGACAAGTTTTTGTCTATACGACATGAACTTGGTATGTTCTCTCAAAATGAGATTGATATATCTTAGTTGATTCTGATTGCCTCTGATTGATTTAGATTGATATCGCAGAATATTTGCTTACCAAATCTTTGTGTCCATGGGTCTAAAAGTCAAATACTTTCTTCTTCTCTCGAAGAGTTTCCTATTATGTGTACACGGTGTGTGTATAAAGTAAGGGTAACTCTTCCTCTTCCCACTCCATCCAACGCTGCTTACAATCACTCTTCTAAAGCTTTTCCTCTCCCCCAACTCGTTCCAATGGCCTTTACTCATGGTCAGATGCATGCTAATGCTCTGTTCAAAAACCAAAGTTTTCGAAATGCTGCGACCTATTCCCGATATCTTCGTAGATTTCGAGATCGTCCTCTTTATCCCTCCTTCTTCATTCAGCCTGCTACCTTCTCAAAGTATGAGATTGATATTCCTGTATATCTTCGGCGACTTGGCTGGAGCTCTTTGGTCGAGAACTTGCGCTTCAGTCAGTGTCCTGAGGCTGTTCGCTTGTTCTATGTCAATCTTCGATGTGGACCAGGAAGTGACCCTTCCTATTTCACCACATTGGTGTATGATTATGAAATCAAAGTTACTCCTGACCTGCTAGCCTCGCTTCTGGGACTTCCACATGACGGCTTGAAGGCTGGGTCAGACAGAGACTTTTATCATTTCGGGTTTCGGTTCGACGAAACTCTTCAGTCTCTGGCTCATGATATTGGGCGCTGGTTTCCCTCTCAGCTCTCTGTTGGGCGCATGCCTGATGACCTAAAGGTGCTCCATTTCTTTTTGACTCGCTGTTTTCTCCCTCGAGATCTATCCAGCACTGAGTTGCTTCATTCGACTGATCTTTGGGTGCTATATAATGCACGAGCTGGACGCCGGATCAGCTTTGCATCACTAATGTTTTGCCATATGATTAGATTTGGCAATGAGTATTATAGTGGGCCTCTGCCATTTGGTCCCCAAATCACTCGCCTCATCTCCCGGTTGGGGATTGACCTGCGTGATAAGGTTGTAGTCTGTGATATTCTGGATGACCTACGACCCCAGCATGTGCTTGCTCGCCTTGACGCACTGGTTGGCCCTCGAAAGCCTGTCACTGGCTCAGGGGGAGTAAGCAACCAGCCTACAGAGCATGCTACTGCTACTGCTCTGGTGGATGCAGCAGCTGCAACTTTCAAACAAGCTGCACATTCTATGTGTGGACCTAAAAGGAGGAAATGGTTAGAAAAGGATCTGCTGCTGCCTAGGTTTGTGTACGAGTCTAATCAGATCAATGATCCGATCAGTTCAGACTCAGAGTCGGACGATGAGGACAGAATTTCAACCTATGCATCACCACCTAAATACCCTTTTTGAGTAAATCTAGGAGAGGGCTGTGTAAGAGTTTATTCAGCGGGTGTTTGAGTGTTTCTTTAAGGGATATCCTTTGGATGTAGCCTGAGTCGTCTGTTTACTTAAATAAAACAATATTTTCAATGAATAGTAGAATTTGTTGTGCATTATCAGATGGTTTGGACAGGCTGCACCAACGGTGTGTTAAGTGTGTGCAGGTTGCAGGGTTGAGCCATTGACAAGCTTAGGGGGAGAATGTTGGCAGAAGCTTGTTCAACGACTCAAAAGAAACACACGATCAAAGGAGTCAAAGAAGGAAACTCTTATTATGTCAAGCAATTCGGGAAAGTCAATCATGAATCAAGATCAAATCATGATCACAGTGATTGATCAAAGGAGAACCCAACGGTCAAAGAATTCGGGTGCTTAAAAAGGGAAAAGAAGGGATTGGGAAAAACACTTTTGTTCAGTAGAATCAAACAGAGAGATAGGTGAAAGAGCTGTGTTTGAAAAGGAACAAAAGAGGGTTAGAGCCATCGGGGAGAGAACTCTGTGTGATCAGCATCCTTTGAATTGGAACAGGTGACGGGGAGTCAGTGTTTCAAAGGGAATCTGAGTGTGTGTGACGGGGAGTCACAAGGGAATTGTGCTTGTATTCTGTAAACTGAACACATACATCCATAGTATATCGTCAAAGGGCTCAATCAGAGTGCCTTTGACCGTGGACTAGTCGATACTGATTTATCAGTATCGGAAACCACGTAAAAATCCTGGTGTCTTGGTCTGAGGCTTTATATTTTTAACCCTGCGATTGCTGATCCTCTGTTTTCGCAAAGTGCTCTGTTTTGTGCAGGGAAGAAAGCCTGCCTCAGTCGAACACAGGGAAGGGAGGAGCTAAACGCAGGCGGCTGAGAAGAAAAACAACCAAGGAGTTGGGCCGATTTTTCCGTGTTGAAATATCTAAATAAGAATTGGGCCAAAGCCCATTCAGTTCATAAACTCTATTACTGCTAATCCGCGTCCAAACTATTTTGCCCTAGCAATTCATATCAGTATCAACATCTTCTTTCTCAATTCCACTTTCTGATTAGGGTTCTCCGTTGCTCTTTCTCGAATCATTTGAAAAAGCAGGTAAGGTCTCGCGCTCGACCGAGTCAACACTAAGAACCACGTACGGGTAAAAAAAGAACCAGCGATCTAATCCCTTGTTTCGTCGTGCAGAAAACTGATTAGGCGGTGTTGATCAGGAAAGGAAGTTATAGATCTCAAATCTCAAGTAACAAAGCTCGGAGTAGAACTCAGCACCAGCGGCGTGGTCACATCCGTGAAGAAGCTCTTTCTTGGCCGCCCTGAGACAGTGCTTGCAGGACTCCGGTGGCGACTTCTCGCAGAAAGCAGCACCGTAAACCCGAGGTTTGTCAGCAGGATGCTGGAGTTTGGTCTCGATGTCGGAGTCTCCTGAGGCCGTAGTTTGCTCGAAGCAACTGGCCGAGCACGGCCTTAATGCTCGCCTTCAGTTCGTGGTCGCCCTTGAAGTACTTGTCGTCGCTGCAGTAAGTGGCAGACGGATCGTCGTCGGCCACGACAACAGTTAGGAGAAGCGAAAGTGGCATCACTGATAACCACAGCAGTACCATCCGTGAGCACGAAAATGCCATTTCTAGCTAGCTAGTTCAGGATTTAGAGAGATATCTGTTGATACATGATATGAGCTCGATAATCAATGACGAAGCCTATAAATATAGCTCTGCTGTCGTTGCGTCTTTCGCGGTGATGCCAAACCAGAGAATATCTGCCGCATGGAGTTGGTGAAACTGTGAACACTGCCAACAGATTCGACTTGTTCGGTTATGTCTGCTTTCGTTTGGATGAATGGTGTTGAGTATATTTAGGTTTGCTTTCTCGGCCGCCCAGGATCATATTCGTCGTCAACTTCCAAGATGAGGTTTGTTAGAGTTAGTGTATGATGTTTAAGTAGGGCCATGAGGAGTTGGGTTATCCCCAGGGCGTCTCGGTGGCTTAGATAGGATGCATAAGCAAGATCTAGGCCTTTAGTTTTGAGTGGGGTAATTCTAAGGGATTCGATTTAAAAACTTTTTTTTTCTCCCTAGTACTTTTAATCAGTTTTTTAGCTTCTTCGTTGTAACTTGCAAATCAAAATAATTTTTTTAGATGGAACGAGTTTCTTGTAATGTATTAAATGAGATTTCACTTTCAATATATATTAAGAAAAAAAAAATTCATACCACTTGTTATCAACTTTGTACCATCAGGTACAACATACATTTTTAACTCGAATTTTGAAAAAATATGCACAGAAAGAACAAGTTTATCGTGCTCTATTAGATCTATAAATTTCTGGAGGGGAAATTGATGACCAAAATATACCACTGGTAATTGGTGATAAACATTGATTTTCTTTTTACCAAAAGCTCACTTGCATTACCAAGAGGATAGATATGAAGTTTACATCACTGTCCTTGCCTAAGAGGAGAAATCAAAACCCGACACACTTGTAGAAAACAAAGAACAGGGTGTCTTTCTAACCACCAAATGGGCTACCCTGTTGTTTTGACTACCACCAAACTGGCTCAGTAAATCTCTGTACTTCTGTCTCCTATCTACAATATCCTGCATGATAACTCCTCCCTTGCGTTTATAATGGTTCCCCTACGAACCTTATCAATAACGAGTTTAGTGCCGCCCATGAATGAGATTGCATCCAATCCTTGGGATTTTTCAAAAAATAGCACCTTTTAAAAAAAATTACAAAAATAGCATCCAGCCGAAATTATTTACAAAAATAGCACCCTTTTTTATGGACCGCACCTCCAAGGTGCGTTTTATATGTAAACCGCACCTGGAGGGTGCGTTTTACATATAAACCGCATATCTAAGGTGTGGTTTATTATCCTGGGCCAAAACCGCATCTTGGCCAAGTGGTTTCAGGTCTGACCTACAAAAACTGCTTGGCCGAGGTGCGGTTCCGGACTGACCTAGCAAAACCGCACCTTGGAGATGCGGTTTGTTTCTCCAAAACAAAACCGCATGCCCAAGGTGCGATTTTTGCCACACAAACCGCACCCCCCAAGTGAGGTTTGTGTGTCAATTATTTTCCAACACCATACGAGCACCCTTAAGTTAACACGATAAAAGTAGAGAAAGCCAAGAACTTATAACTAAAATAAAAACTAAAACAACACTCAATTAAAGAAACTAAAATAGAAGGGTTTCAAGTACTTAATAAATAAAACATAACTAAAGACAACACTTAAAATGATAAAACTAAAGATCCATCTCAAGGAAGTCCTTGGGACTCATGGGGCTGGAAAGTTTTTTGGCTCCTTGTACGACGGCCGACGGGAGTGGCCATCGGTGGTTGCGGTGGCAAGTATCGTTGGGTCGTGCTAGGGCGATCATCGGTGTTGTGTCAGCGTCGATCCGTGGTATGCGGCACTTCCGGGTCGAGCGGGGGACATCGACGCTCATTCGGTGAGGGGTAGGAGGCTACTGCTGATTTGGGCAAGGAATGGGATTAAAGTCGTGATGTGCAGTCGTGGAGGAACCATCATGCCAAGTACCCGAGGATGTGGGGGGTTCGTTGAAGAAGTTTGGGCGGGGATCATAGTATGTATGGCGAGGATCATAGTATGATGGGCGGGGATCGTTGTATGAGATCGGGTTGGGATCATATGGAGATTGATGGTAGCTCGGAGGGGATTGATGGTAGCTCGGGCGGGGATCATTGTATGAGCTCGGGAATTGCTCATGATGGTAAGTCGGGGGGGATCTTAGGAGTGGGTGGGGCGGGGATCTTGGGAGTGGCTCGGACGGGGATCTTGATGTGAGCTCGGACCGCCACCGTGTGACACAACCAAGGGGGTCGGCACTCTCCATGCCGGTAACGGCTTTATCTCGGGCTCATGAGGTCTCTCCCGAACCTTCTTGCTTTTCTTTCTCTCGTATGGTGGTGGGGGATGGGGGACATCAACTTGTACCGGAGGTGGCACCGGTGCGGGCATGGGTGGGTATCTACGATGATCACGACCTTGTGCTCTGATACACCCAAGCAGACTGTTTGTCAATCTCCTGATGAAGCTCACATCTTCACGTCCCATTCCATGTTTCCCATGGGTCAACGCTTTGATCTACTCGATCCCGTCAGCCTAAATCACAAAAAAGGTTAGCAAGATAAGACTAATGATGTGACAGAATGAAACAAGCAATAAATTAAATCTTATCATACGGAATATACTTACCAATGCACCATCGGCCGCACCCTTCGGAGTCACGTACCGAACCGATGTTTGCCGATATCTATCCATGTATGGGTCATGATACCCCATTCGACCCACACTTGTTGGAGTGACAATATCCTGAAGTTGTCGGTTCTCCCATACCGCGATCAATTCCGCCAACTTCGTGGGCCAATCGTGAGCACCTCGCCGACCATCCTGACCATGAAACGCCCTTTGACTCTCGGGGACTTCCAACGGAATGCACTGCTCCCGACCAAACTGACGAAGGCATCGATCCGGCAGGTGCCACTCCACGGTCCCTAAACAAATGAGAGGGACCCTCGTGCACCATTACCCGATATTCTCGGGGAATTGCTGTAAATTCCAATGAACGATGTTCGCCGGGTATGGATAAAAAATGATCTACAAAAAAATATTAGTAAATTAAGTTAAATCTGATTGGAAAAAATACATGTACTCCATGAAAAAAAGTTATAGCACTTAGAAGTTTTCTAGTTACCTCTCATTCCCAAAGTCGCTATAGCCGCCTCCGATACTCTACCAACTTTTGTTGGGCAAGGTTGTTGCATGTTGAGGCTCCAACCCACCTTATTAATAAAATGATAATTAAAATACACTCAATTAAAATAAGCTAAAAATTAAGTAAAATTGTGTTATATAATCATGATGGGGTATGAGAAATTTACCTGCAACCATAAGCTTCGAGTCTTAGGGGATGATCGGGACCCCAATTCCTGTCGGGACATTGGAGCGGTGCAATCCATGGCAGATGCTCCCAAGCCCAAAACTGGACGATGCACATTGCGCCGCCGACCTCCCTCACAGCTTTGAGAGATGCGTTGCACAAGTGGTGGTAGATATTAGCTAGGCAAGCGGATGCCCAGCTCAACTTCCCCATTTCATCCCAACTACCAAGGAGGATCCTAAGCCATCCACAACTAATTAAATTGCTCGATTTTTTGAAGAAGAACACTCCTCCTATCATGCCCATGAGATAGACACGAGCATATCTTTCCTTCTCCAGCTCCGGGCTTTCCTCGGTTAAGGGCACCCCATCTTTTTCAGGATCGTGATAGTCCCTAAAATACTTCGTCAACCAAGTGATTGATATTTGGCCTTTCCTCAATGGTGGCAAGGGATCCATCACATCAATGCTCCCCTTGGTTGGTACTTTCACCCCCAAAACACTGTGGATGAAATATTGCCAACTGGTCATACCGTCACGATCCTCGGGGGGTGATCACTCACACACACCGCTTTGCCGTCGATAGGTAGATGAGTTAGGATGGCGACGTCCTTGAGTGTGATGGTGCACTCTCCTTCGCGAAAGTTGAAACAATGTGTCTCCTTTCTCCATCTCTCAACCAATGCGGTAATGAGTTGGCGATCGACTTTTATGCCTAGAAAATGCCTAATCGACTCCAACCGTGCCCTTTTGAGATAGGACAAGATAACTGGGTTCCATGGGAGCACATTGGTTGTACCCCTGTAGCGGAGTATTTGTTGTGCCTCCTAGCAAAAATATCAATGTTATTTATGATATATTAGTAACAGTTTAGTCTTATAACTAAATAAATTGAAAGTAATGATTTAATTTAAACCATGATTAAAATTATTTATGATATATAAGTAATAGTTTAGTCTTATAACTAAATAAATCAAAATTAATGATTTAATTTCATGATAATGGGAGGATCATGATAATCGCTTAAAACCCCATTTCCTTAGACGTGCATCTCTTAATAAAGAGTCGAAGTAAGTGTCGCTATGTATTCGATTAAATTATTGAAAACAACCAATACGATTAAATTATTTCAAATTTATTTTATATTCCACTAAGTATATTAGCAAAATAAAAGAAAGATAAATGATGAAGAATTGTATGTACCGGGTGATCGTTCCATACATCCCTTGAACGATGGTTGGGTTGGTCATACAAGTCGATCGAGAGAATAACAACAAGGTTAATACATATATTAATTAAAAAGCTTATAAAAAAAACAAAAATTGACCAAAATAATTATTATGTACCGCTTAAAATTCATCATAATAAACTCCCTCTCCTTAGAACCACTCATCCATTTTCTCGCGAAAGTCGGACAGAGATTCGGCGTCGGACAGAAATTCGGCGGGCGGGTTTTGAGGGAAAAACCAAAGAAATGTTTTCTGATGGCAGATCGGACTTAGCCGTAACCAACAAACCATTATTTCCTAGGCTTTTGGGAGGGGAGGGGAGGGGTTAGAGAGCTAATTCTAGAGCGAGAGAGTGGAGAATGGTTGTGGTGCAAAAAAATGAGAAGGGGGACGGGGTATTTATACCCATCAGACCGCACCCTCCAGTGGCGGTCTGGTAA